GGGACCTGTGCCTCGCTCGGCAACGCTGGGAAGAAACAGGCATGTGGTGTGTGCCTACCAGAGATGCTGCAGTCTTACTGGTCTTGCTACTAGAGGTTGGTGATGATCTCCCCCCAAAATGACAGACTAGTGAAAACTCAACTACAATAATACATGTAGCAAAAAAATGTCAAACAAGTATGAAGTAAACTGTAATGTTTTTTGACTCACATAATACTCACTGGCTGTAACCGGAGAGGTGCAGCTCGCCCCAGCTTCGTAGTGGATTTCTCTATTACAGTACCGAGGGGTTAGAGCCTAAATGCTTTCCAATTCTAATCTTTGGACCAGCTACTTTTCCTTCTCTGTTTGAAACTTCCCAGCAATAAGGACAAGAGTCACCTTGAATCTGACCCCTACAGGATTGGACGGATCCTACTTTTGGTGCTGACCCAAATCACAGTGCTCCCAACAAGTCTGTCAGTAGGGTGAGAAGCTACTAACCTCAAAAAAATCAAGTCTAATTACTTATTTTATGAAAAGGATAGTGCCCCTTGGAGGCAGAAATCCACATTTCCTCTCAAATTCTGTTGTCCTTTAGTTCTGATGTAAGAGGTGTCACATTTTAAAAAATCACCTTGAGCAAAATAAAGAACAAATAGTATTATGTAACTGTTGTATCTTAGTTTATTCAACCTCTTGTTTAAAAGATATATAGTGTAATTTTACTAAAAGGAAACGAAAAGTCCTCAAAAAAACCTGTCACGACCCACAGTTCTCTGCCACCCTAGCCTTGGGTTTCCATCATTACAGTGCAGGACAAGAATTATTTATAGTTAAAAGACGTGTCAGTTGGCTCAGCTTACTAAAGTTCAAAATGCATTTGGCTGCCCTCTGCTAAAGCCTAGTTTGAAAAGCTTTTTTATCTGTTACCAAGGCCAACCATCCAAACAATTGGAACTTGGATTCATTATAAGCCTGTGACTGAGGCCAACCCCAAGAGCAGCCACCAGGAGCCACCTCCTGGCTCTCTCCCTGCTGCACTCTTCTGACCTGGCTTCAAAGGTTCAGTTCCCCTCACAAGTCTCCTCCCATGCAAGCCTTTGTCCTTGCGACTTTTCAAATCTCAAGGTGATCCCCCTTCACTTCAGTGACTCGCTCAAGAGTGGCCAGAGACACGGGCCAAAAATCTATAGGAACTCCGAAGAGGAGGCCATCGGTGACATCCAGAAATGTCACAACAGATCTGGGAAACCAACAGGCTGTTGTGAAAGAAAGACGGAAACTCCCCAGTATCACGAATTTGAGACATACCAAATCTGCAGCCAAACACTGTACAGAGCCAATGCCAGACAACCGTGCCTGGGTAATTTCCACTTTAGAATTCCCTCGGCGCCAGAGGCAAAGAAGAGCGATCATGCCCGACTCAGGACCCCATCGGCTCATCACTGGTCTGTATTCCTCTGACTGGCTTATGTACGTTACACGGCAGGTCTCTTAAATGTTTAGATCCTACTTTCCCATCCCCACTGCACTTGGCAGGAAGATACGTAGCTAGACCTCCAATGTCTAGATGTTCGGTAAATTCCTGGGAAATGTGAAAGAAGCACGGCAGCAATCCCTGCTCTCTAACGACAGCTTTGGAAACTGAAGGCTGGGTTACACCCGCGAGCCAGCCCAAATCTCCGGAGTGTTTGAATTAGTAAGAGAATATCAACTGGCGATTCAGCTCCCAGCAGCCACAGGTACTTCTACGGGTGTATATTTAATGGATTTTTGCATTAATAATCTAGTTAATTATAATCGGATAATGCATTCAGTGGCTCGGCAAATATTTACTGAGCGTCTCTTCCACTTGCCAGTAGGGAACAAACCAGACGCAAATCCCTGAACTCTTGGAGTCTACATTAGAGCGAGGGGAACAAATAATACAAAGTATAAATAAGTAAAATAGATGGTGACGGGCTAAGGAGGAAACCAGCGCTGGGAATAGCAGTACGGAGGACCGCGCTTTAGAGTGGCAGTGACAACGCCCGGAAGACGTGAGGGAGGGAGCCATGCCAATATCTGGGACGAGCATTCCAACCAGAGAGGCCACCAAATGCAAAGGCCCTGAGGCAGATGGATGCCGGGCATGGTCAAGAAACACTGAGGAGGCCCAAGTGGCAGGAACAGTGTGAGAGAAAGCTGGAATAGCAGGAGATGACATCAGGGATATGGGATGGGGGACAAAAATCATAGAGGGCACCGTAGTGCATTATGGAAACTTAGGCTTCTACCCCAGGTTGAAAAGCAAATGGAGAATCATGACAGAGATATGAGACATTTTGAAAGGATCCTGCTAGCTGACGAGCTGAGAATATACCAGAGGCTAATGAGAGCGGAAGCTGAAAAACCAGTTAGGAGGCCACTGCAACAATCCGAGCAAGAGCTAAGAGTGGCCTGCACCGGAGCCGGAGCGACGGGGAGGTGACGGGCGGCAGAATGACAGGTTCGTGTTGGAAGCAGAGTGAACGAGTCTGACCCTAATTTTTCGTGTCAAGGGCTGACTTTCAATAGATCGCAGCGAAGGGGCTGCTTGCTACATATAAACACCCCCC